CTATGTCTATTTCGCTATACATATATACAAAAAGAAGCAATTGTATAATTCGTTGGCTCCTCTTCAGATTTGTATAATTTTGCTGGCAGGTCATTTGTATAAATTGTTGTTAGCCTCTCGTTTGTATAAATCGTTGACAAAAATATTTGTATATCAAAAATCGCTCTCTCTTTCGCTTTATACAAACATAAATTATACATTATATTTGTATAATCTGTGCTTGTATAAAACGAGAAAGAGAGAAAGGCAAAAGAGAACTGGGCAGAGAAATATTTGTATTGTATAATTATAAGTGTATAGGACGAAGATATATGTATTTGCATGTGTATATACAATTTTCTCTCGCTTTATACAAATAGAAGCGCAATTTATACATTTCGTTTCTGTTTGTATAAGCGAGAGAGGCGAGCGAGATTCCACCAGGGAGAGTGGCGAAAATAGCAATAGTTTGCTATATGGTACAATTAAATCAAAGTATATTTATAGCATTTAATTTGAATTAATAGTTTGCTATTATATACATTTTTCCCTTTTTTTATTTCAGTTTATGTGATGTATTTTCTTTTTTAGGCAGTTTTAAAATAAATAATATATTCACAAAGCAAAAATAATACTTAAATTTTACTTTTAAAATTTATTTTTTTAATGAAAAGTTTTTATAAACCATATTACCATACAAATACTATGATATATTTAAGATAATAAATTTTATTAATTTATACAACTATATAAATGTGATGTTATGTTTAGGACTATAAATTAAAATTTGTGTAACGCTTCTAATTATATATGTCACATTAATTAAAACAGAAAGAAAATATATATATGACAGTAATTATTAATTGTAAGGGAAGCTCTTGATTTGAAAGGGAACAACTAACAAGTATCTAATTGTTCTGTTATCAATGATATTGCTCCCTCAGTTCACATTTAAATTTTAATATATAAAAATATATATTACTTTTTCATTTTTTATCTTTAATAATATTTTTAATTAATTTTCAAGAACCTACATCAATTAATGTGGGTATTACGATAAAATATTATATTAGTCATTATTTTTCAAAGATCATGCAAAGTTTAAATTGAACAACTAAAAATAAGCTAATAGAGTATAATTTACAAATAATAGAATCATAATATCACATATTTGAATTTCCATTTTCTTCTTAATTATGTGAGAAAACGTCCTTTCTAATATATAATTTTCTCAATTATATGCGCCTCATTTTTCTACTTCCTCTCTCTCTTTTGTAATTAATTTCTTCATGTGTAGAAAGAAGAAGAGAAAATCATATTTGATTAGTCTAGTGTTTAAGACAAATAAATAATTATTTTTTAAGTTCTTCCAGCAAATGTGTAAGGCATGGGTAGAAGACAATATTCCATAATATATATATATATATATATATATTATTTTCTTTTAAAGATTTATTAGGTTCACGAAATATATCGAAAGATAACATTTTATATTCATTTTAAAGGAATATACCGTTGATTCTTAGATGATCACTCGCTTAACTAATAATTATCAATTTATAACACATCTTTTACTTAATTTTAGTTTTCTTTAAATAAAACTTTCTTCAATATTAATGGAGTGACCATTTAAGAATTCATTTTGATAAAAAGAAGAAGAAGAAGAAGATAATACTAAGATATATTGAAGTCCATGAGAAAATAATTTTTTGAGCGTATGGATTGAAAACAATAATTCCCACTAGTAATCTACAACCAAAATTTGACTTTAGTTGGATGAATATGAAAGAATGTGACATTATACACGTATAATTTAAATCGAAATTGAAATTTCAATGCTATAATTTTCTTTGGACAAATAAAATCACTATTAAGGATAATTTTATTGGAAAACATATTCATTATACCGTTTTTATAACAATATTTCGTTATCAAATAATTTTTTAGTGAAATCAATATTTTATATTATAGTAATATTTCACAATAAACAATTAAAAAAATACGTGGACAAATAAATATTTTTCAAAAATAGGGTAAGTAGGAGTATACGTTAGATGGGGGCGACAATAGAATCTCAGGTACACGCCTTGATTTGTTTTTCTCAATTATTTTTCATTCATATCTAGGCATTGACCTGTAAATATCATTATTATTTCATGTTAGGTAGTATTACTTTTTACGTTTCAATTTATATGATACAGTTTAATTTAACATTAATTTTTTTTAAAAAAATGAACTTTTGAAACTTAAGACATAAAATAAGTTTGACTATAAACTTATGACTCATTTTTTTTAATATTGACTAAAAAGAAAAGTGAGTCGTATAAATTGAAACAGATGAAGTATTACTTTATCTTATTTTATTTGTTTGATGATTGAAATTTTTTTGTCCTTTGTTGACTCCGTCGACACCGGCGGGCATGGCCGTCCAAGATCCCGGCCCCTCGGCGTTGAAACACGTGGCAAGCTCACCTGCATTCTAGGACTCTGCCGGTTGATGACGTCATATTTTGTTAATTTTTAAAGTTTATTATAATGTGCAATTTGATATTTTTATAAAGGTACTATAAACTGATCACCTGACAAAAGTTTGAGTGGACTGTTAGGATTTGGAAGAGGTAAGACTTAAAAGAGTCTACATAGTCCCATTTGTCATGATTATTTTATATATTGTGGGGAAATTGTGATAGAAAATATATAACATAACATGGTAACATGAAAGATTAATTTCACAGATAAATATGATTTGTTACAGTGAAATGTTTTTATAAAGGATGACTGTTATAAAAAATTTGACGATAGTCCATTGAATTTTTTTATTTTATCTGTCTATCTTAGCTAATATAGATGGAAAGAAATCATCTAAAGTGTATTTGATACAAAGGAAAATAAATGGATATTTTACTTATTTTTCTTGCCTTCGGTAGATAACGAAATTCCTAAAAGCATTTAAATATAATTCAAACAAATACTATGGGAGGTGGGGATGGGGATAGTGGTGTTGAGGGAGAAGATGAGTTGTGTTGGAGGGTGGAAAAGACATAATTACGGAATGTCACTAATGCAACTTGTTTTTCCAACTTTCATTAGAAAACATTATTTTTCCTCATTTTTTAAAGAGTTTGTTTTTCAAAATATCTGACCAACGAACATGAGAAAATTGAAAACATTTTACAGAAACCGTCATACCGATTGCCAAACCCCTAATATTTTTTTGTCATTACTGAAATTCGAACTTGAAACCTCTGATTCTAAACACACTTTGTTGGACCACTAGAGCATCAAAAAGTGAGCTTACTTAATCACTTTTTTTTTTTGTATACTACTTGTATAATGTTTTTTAAATTTTATCTTTTTGGGTGGCATACATATAACTACTATATAAGTTAGTTGAGGAAGGGAGGGTATTGCTAGGCTAGCTTGAGAGAGACCTATTTTACCACACACACAAACACACAAAGAAAGTGGGCACTGCTTGGAAAGAGACTCTTGTCTATTTCATAACCTTATTTCCTTCCTTCTTCCTTTCCTCCTTCTTATCCATCTTCTTCTTCTTCTCCTCCTCTTCTAAGAAATCAAACATCATTCACAAAGTGAATTAGAAAAAACAACCAAATGGGGAATTGCCAGGCTGTTGATGCAGCTGCACTAGTAATACAACATCCAAGTGGTAAGACAGACAGGATGTATTGGCCTATGACAGCTAGTGAAGTTATGAAAATGAACCCTGGTCACTATGTTTCTCTCATAATCCCTCTTCCAAACAACTCTGATGACAAAACTGTTCGTTTCACACGCGTTAAGCTTCTCCGGCCAACGGATACTTTAGTCCTTGGCAGAGCTTATAGACTTGTCACAACACAAGGTAATATACATATATATGTGGGTGTGTGTGTGTGTGTGATGTGATGTGATTCTTTGATCAAATGCAAAATTGGTACTCAAAAGGCTAATTCTTTTTTCTTGATTACAGAGGTGATGAAGGTATTGAGAGCTAAGAAACATGCAAAGATGAAGAAGAATCAGCCAGAGTTACAAGAAAATCAAAGGTCAAGCTGTGAACTTGAAGCTCGAAACTCTGAATCAGATAAGAACAAGGTAATTAATACTTTTGAACTAATCACTTGTAAATTGTACATATTCTCAAGAATTCAATAGTTGAGAACATGAAAGTGACTATCAAGTTTACTAATTAGATAGAGTTGATCACTTGCAGGCTATAAGACATGAAGGAAACAGGCAAAGACCTGGAACAACAAACTTAGCTGCTGGTGCTGCTGCTTCAAGGTCCAAATCATGGCGTCCGAGTTTACAGAGTATCTCTGAGTCCAATAGCTAATGAATGTTGCCAACTCAATCACCGGACAACGGAGGACTTCTAAAATCATGGAAGATATGCACAAGGAACTCGCAGAAGTTGGTGGTTCTAATGTCTTGTTCATCCAATTGTCTAAGTTCATGAGGGATGTTAAGCAATAATGCTTTTGTATAGAAGAGAAATGGAACTACTACTAACTCTACCTTGATAGAAAGAACATCCTATAATGGAAAATACATATTCTCCGGAATTCTAGCATTGCTTTTTTTTTTATTTTGCAAACGATAGTTGTGCACCTCGACTATTCCACCAGATACCTGTTATCTTTCACCAACACAGTTACGGGATAACTTTGAAGATAAACCATGATTCCTTATTCGTTAGCTTAGGTGGTTTGAGTTCCAAGTCTCCCAATCTTGATCAACATAATTTTGAGCCCATAATAGTGATGCTCGTGCAGCTGATGCCGCTCCTGAAAGTTTCCTCTCTTTGAGAGCTACCATCATATCAGTAAAAGGCTCCACAAGTAGTGTCCCAGGTCCTCCATATTCTTTGTGCAAGAATTCATTAAAAATCTGATTCAAGTAACAGCTAGTGAATAACAAACCAACTATATATTTTAAGTACTCATGAAAGTAAAAAAGCATCATATAATAAGTGTTAGTTTATTCTAGAAAATGCCAGCATTGGTGGCACAAAAGACCAAGTACAGCTTGATATTAACTGTTCATCTATGTTTCTATTGTATGACAAGTAGGAGTACCAGATACTACTTTCAAATGACAATCATTGTACCATTTCCAGGTCAGAAACAAGTCAGATTATAAGTACCAATAAACATGATATTATATACAATTATATCAAAGATCATAATGGGTGGTAGTGCTAGTGTTTTAGTCACCTTGTTTCAATTTGTTTCTCTTATTTTGATTTTGCACGGAACTTAAAGAAAGTGAAGAAAGACTTTTGAATCTTGTGATTTTAAACTAAAGATACCTAGAACGTCCTTTAATCTTTGTGATCTTAAATATGTCAGTTGGAATTAAGAAGTTGTCAAAAAGTGAAAGAGATATTCTTTTTTGAACAGGCTAAAAAAAGAAAGTCAGACAAACAAATTGAAACTGTGTTTGGGAACTTATGAACTCAATCTAACTAAAAGCCGTTTCCTCTCCCAAACTTAAGAAAGAAAGTAAAACCAGCAGCTTTCAATTTTTTACACAACTTTCCTGGTCTAAGTGATTCAGCATGGTTCGGTATTCAGTAGTTTATATGTAGTGGTAAAAGCAAGATACTTTTGGTCTTAAGGGATTTAGGCCTTTTAATAATTTATATTCAGATTAATTGAATTTTTATTATCTATACAATAATATGGTATACATCAATTGTATACGGAAGCAAGTTTTTCAGTATGGTATCCGATATTTCAAAAATAAAAAATCTATGAACACCGAATACGATATTGAATACCAAATTCTTAAAAATGCATAATAAATACCGTACCCCAAAGTGCCAAAAAGGTGCTGACTGTGATTGGTTTTGATTATCTCCAGATCTAATCAAAGTCAGCACATTTTAATTAAAGCATTCAATATTGAGAGAGGTTAGCATATCAATCTACTGCTTACAAGCCAAACTACTACAAAAAAGTCAAATTATGTTGACAATATTGAATTTTCTGCATAGCGATAGTTTAATGCACCGGGCTTCCCCTTTCTCATATTCATTTCCCAATTCTCTATTGGTACTATTTCTTTAATAGGTCCAATTACCAACAGTCCAACATACTACATGCTTTCATTAAATGAAACATCTAAGTCTTGACAAACCAAATAAATGATGAAGGAAAAGAAATTCAAACTAAGTTAGTCACACTCACACCTAATCATATTTGTTGGAGTAAAAGTCATCCTCATCCTTAGGTTAGCAAAAGAGAAAATAAGTTTCTTAACCAAATACTCTTAATGTTATAGGTTAGCAAAAGAGTTCACAACTTCTTATAAAAGGAAAAAGCTACAAGAACTTTTGCATGTTATGTAATGTAAACTCGGCAAAGTTGCATCTAAGCTATCTGTCCTTATAGCTTTACTATGCGTTACTTGAGCTAAGGGTCTTTCGGAAACAGTTGTTCTGCCTCCACAAGGTAGGTGTAAGGTCTGCGCACGCTCTACCCTCTGGCTATGTTGTTGTTGTAAAATCTGTCCTTATAAACCACTAGATGCGTTTAAATTAGCCAGTTAATACTAGTAAACATTGATAAGTATACTTTTGACCTTGTAGTGCATTCCTCTTGTGCTCTCCACATAGCATTAACCAAATCAAACTTTATATCAAATGAGGACCATATACAGCAAGTACATGAATTTTGTTTTTTATCTTCAAAAACTCCACAAAAACACGTGAGTGCTGTAGCATCAATTGGAAGACAACTTTATGATACTGATAGACTTAACTGGATGAACTCCCTAATGCTCAAGACCCATTTAATTTCAAGTATGTAGCAAGCAGAACTTATTGCACCTGTTCAGCCAGCTTGAGATGCGCTTATCATCTAATATCCGAATCAAAACTGATAAAATTGTTCTTTTCAATGCTATAAGCTCCGATTCCACCCCTTCAAAGCAATCGATCCATGGTTGTATGTTCAAAATATAGTAAAACTACGACATATCTGCCAAGCACTCACTTCCAGTTTATTGCATCTTGCTACAAATAAATCTTTAGTTTTGCCACGTTTAATGAAATCGGATCCTTCTACATCAGTTTCTTATGCTTTTCTCTTCATCCTACATGAAACTATCAAGAACTATAGGGACGAAACGGATATCTTGTCTGAGATATAACAACCCCATAACTCTTCTCTGCCATAAGCAACAGTTACCTATTAAATCTTATATATGCAATCCTGTCCAAATTTCTTGGAATTCTCTTGTTTGAAAACCAGTACACTTTAAAAACACTACGAAATTCAGTTGTGCTATTTAATCGACCTAGAATTTACATATTAGTCGATAAAACATGTGTACTTCGCAACATTGCAATCTCTTCGTAGATAAGTATATTAATTCAAATGTTGGTATTTAAAGCAAAGACTAAAAATGCATCTTTACATATTCAATGATAGTTCTAAACACATGCCTAATGTTCTACATCTAGTACTCCCTCCGGTCCTTTTTATCTATCACTTTAGCTTAAAAAAAATTTGATCAAATATATATGTTACTTCAGAAAACCTAGTAGGTATTCACTTTTCTCCAATTCCACCCCTACTACTCCAGTTTTGTACATTCAATGTACTCAGCGGATAGAGGAATACATAGAGTTGTACATATTTGAATAAGAAATTCAGAGATTTTGTTGAAATTGTTCATTTGGAAATCACAGATTCTTCTCTCCATTGGAACAATAAGGCCATTATGTTCATTACTAAAAATTTTAAAGAAATGAAACATAAGGAATATCTTTTTGATCAGAGGTTGACAAGATTTTAGGAAAAAATTGTTTTTTCATTTCTTTATAGGAGAGGACAAATCTGAAGCGGCAGATTAGTCATTAGTTACTCATTGGAAGATGAGAAAAAGAGTAATTTAGTTGAATATCCCTTATGATTAATAGTTACTGTTCAGAATGCTTTGTTATGTTTTCACCTACGTCTATTCTCTTTCTTGACTGCTTTGGATTGTTTCTCTTAAGCCAGAGGTCTATCGGAAACAACATCTCCACCTCTGAGGTAGGGGTAAGGTTCGCTTATGCTCAACCGTACCCTCCCCAGACCCTAATTTGTGAGACTACAGTGGAATGTTGTTGTTGTTGTACCCCTTATGATTAATACTATCCTAATAAATCTAGCTATATGTTTCACTTAGACATTTGATCAAACAATTCATGAGGTATCCAGTTCCCATTTTGTTACTACCTTATAGAAAAAGGGATTCTTTCTAACATGGAAAGCTGTCATTAGAAAGCCTTACCTCAGCACAAACACTAACAACATCATCAAGTTCATCTCCAAGAATCTCCTTTTCCTTGGACAGTTTCTTCAAGAGCTCCACCCTGAACTTCTTAGTCTCCTACATTTCACAAATAAATTACAATATGAGACAATAAACTACGTCACAATACCAAACTAGTTATTTCAGACTATAAGAATAGTTAATGCATTCCAATACTTATAAAGAACTTATCTTTTAAAGGAAAACATGGATTCCCAATTCTATCAATTAATAAACTTAAACAACAACGAAAAAAAACTACTCAATTTCAAGCTAGATACTCTATTTAAGCCCATGTCATTCTACCATACAACAACAACAACAACATACTCAGTCTAGCCCACGAAGTGAAGTTTGAGGAGGTCAATATACAACATAACCCCAACCTCAGAGAAACTGTTTCCAATAGACCATTGACTCAAGATAAAATAGTCCAAAGCCATATGTCATTCTACCGTACAACTAGTCGCACAAAGTGGGGTCTGGAGAGGCTAGATAGAGCGTACATGCATAGTACCTTAGTCATAGAGAAGTAGTTTCTGATAGACTCTTGACTCAAGGAAACTATAGGCACAATTCCAAAACAAGTTAGGTTCCTCTATATGAATCTTTTACATTCACTCTACTGTACTCAGGCTCATTTCATTCCTTTACTGGTATAACAAATTAGGGATTCACAATTAAATCAAATAATTCGCAAATTAAGTTACAGCAGTGAGTAGTTATTACTATTCTTCTAATTAAAGGGCTAAAATTTCAGTTATAGAAAAGAGGAATGAGTTACAGAAACAGCAAATTCAGGGATTGGGTCAGGATAGACGTATTTCTGAGTCTCTGTTGAGCTGTGAGGAACTGACAAGTGATTTCTTGAGATGGGTTTTGAGAAGTGAAGCTGAAGAGAGGTTTTGGATTTGTGTTGGATTGAATGATTCAAGATTGAAGCAGCTGCAATGGTGAAAGTTGGAAGGTAAAGCGCCATTGTTGTTGAGATTTTTTTGTAATAAGAAAATTTGAAGCAAATATAATCCCACGTATTAAAACGGAGAAAAAGCCCAAAATAGTCTTTTATCTCAGGTTAAGACTCAACGTCATTCTTGGGTTTTCACGTGAAACACTAATAATCTGTCTTGTTTGCAATATTGATGCATTTTTCAATATTGATTTTATCCACATTTATGTATGAGATGTTTAATCGTATTTTTATATTTTATCTTAGGTTAAGACTCAACGTCATTCTTGAGTTTTCACGTGAAGCACTAATAATCTGTCTTGTTTGCAATATTGATGCATTTTTTATTCTTTCTCAATTTTTTGCATTTTTCAATATTGATTTTATCCACATTTATGTATGAGATGTTTAATCGTATTTTTATATGTTATAACTTCATGTGAGAGAAGATCAGAAGAAAAATATCTTATTATGTTTAGTAAAAATATTATTATAGCGAAAATTGAGAAGTTAATCACGTTGATTTCACATGCAATGGTACACGTTTTTCTTTTCTTACAACGTCATATGTTAATGTGTTCTTAGGTTATCTACAATAATATTTCAACATTTGCAGAACAAGGTGATATTCTTATCACCTTCTCTATATGGAATAATTATTTCTATTAAATATATAAATAACATTTCATATATAAAATTATGGATAGAATGAATGTTAAAAAACAAGCAAAATTTGATAGAGGACCAAAAGTGCGCCAATACTGAAAACACAAGAAATTATTAGTACACTATGTAAAAACTCAAGAATGACTTTGAGTCTTTACCCTATTTTAGGCTTTTACTCTATTGAAATGGGTTATGGTTGGTTATGGTTTGTTGGTGATAAAATTTTGGAAAATTTCACAAATAGAGATATTAGCTTCCATTCTTGCAAAATATAATGAGATTTTTCTTTTTTCCAAAACTCAACATAATATATATTCATATGTATAGAATATTTTATCATAATCGAAATCACATTGATAATGTAACTTATAGAAATCTTACTAGTTTAGAAGCTAATTAATTAAATTTACGTTAATTTCCTATATTACGACTTTTACTTGATTTTAGATTTTGAATACATGTATCTAGTATGTTTAGATGCATGTATGATGCATTTCGGATACATGGGATCAAAATTAGATGTAATTAGTTTTAGCATATTGTATCTAAGTGAATTTGCATGTATTCTCTCACTCACCTCTCTCCTATCTCACTCGTCACTTTTCCCTCTCGCTCACTTCTCTCAGTTTACATGCACTTTACATTCAAGCACACACTTTAGCCATTGGTTTACTCAACTAAAGTATCACGCGTATAACTTACATATATTTCACATACACTTCAAATAATCACTACATACACATTCTACCACCAACTTCTATGTCATTGTATTTCACTGTATGTCACTTGGATTTATGAGATACAGAAGCAATATACACTTTATACATGTATACATATATGTCACTATCTCCCATACCTAAAAAGACTTGTAAGAAAACGTTAAATCATATAGTAATTTGAAACTTTGTAAGTCCATGGTAATTTTTAATGACAGGTAAAACTTTTTTATGTAAGAGTGAATGATGTATAAATAAATATTAGATCCGAGTCTGATATTCCAGAAAGATAATTTTCTAAGGAGAAAATCAAAATGATGGGCTAAAAAAAGAGATACCCGTGTAAGTTTTAGTAATCTAGTTTACAAAATAGGTGGCAAATGTATGTCTTGAATATCATAAACGTTATCTTGGCCCAAACTTTAGCTTTGGGCCAATTGCTCACTTGGTATCTTGATAGTTTGTATTTAGGAATTTAGAAAGTAACCTAAGTTAGATATGATCTCTTTCAGTCTCAGTTTAAAAATGTTACAATTTCAATTTTCGACCTCGTGAATTACACTTGATTATGTAATTCAGATACATTTTGAAATACTGATAGAGAGGCAAGCAAGACAGTCAGTATATCTCAGATATATGTGGATTACACTTGAATACAATGTATCTAAAACAAACTATACCTAATATGATCGTATGTATCTCATATATATCCGAGGAAATAATTTTCTATTAGATATTCACTACTCGCATTAGAATTCGCAGAATTCAGAGTCATGTCAATGTGTAATTATTTTCACTATAAAGGAAGTGCATAAATATGCAATCTAGCTCACTAAAGACTAAAGTTGTATATGCTCCAATTATAAGCAGCCAAACACTACCAAACAATAAATAGAAAGAAGTTTTGTCAACCATTTCAATATGCAAACAAAGCAAAGATGCCAATTGCTAGTCCTTTTGTCATCCAAAAAAGTAGTGATCCAAGGGTTTGTTCTCAGAAGTTTCCAATTGTAATAAATTAATCACTCGTGGGGTACTTAATTTATACTAATTTCAAAAGGATATGTTGTTTGCTAATCAGATAAGCTTAACTTAGCTTGTTGCTAATTTTTTATATACTTCTACAATGAACACGTAATATTATAAAATTAAGCACGTTCATATGTAACTAATTAAACCTATGTGTTTTTGTTTGCATGCATATCTTAAGGTGGAATCTTGATGTGGCTAGCATATAGATTAATTGTTTAATTTATGGTACTTATTATTATCCACTTTGGACATTCTCCTCTAATGGCAATATTTAATACCGTATTGTTTTCTTCATTAAAACAAAATTGGAGGGAAAAATAATGATAAAAATTAACTTTTTGACTAGTTAGACAATAGATCATTCCAATGGAATTTTGTTTGGTTTGATTGTAGTTGAAGTCCTTTAGTAGGTTTGCTTATGAATGTGACTTATAATGTATTAGAACGTGAATTGTGATGAGATGAATACGATCTTTTCATTTTTAGTTAGAAATTTTGAGTTTGTGCTCTAATTATGTTTAAAGTTCTACCAGGGAGTGTTTCTCCTCAAATGGACCTTACGTGATGCAAATCCAAATTAGTTGAGTCTCTAATACAAATAGCAGACACCGAGTTATTAATGTATTGGAGATGAATGTAATGATTATTTCTTTCACCTTTGGTGTGGTTAATTTATGGAGTTGTAATTTATTCAGAAAGGGAAAGTGTACTTAAAGTAGAAAAAAAACAACACCTAATCAAATATCAACTTCAATAGGTAACCACAATTAGTCAACATTTTGAAAATCTTCATACATTTTAATTAATTCTATTTGATACATTGAAATTTTTTCCTTTTGGCCCCCAAGAGAACGTGCTTTCGGCTAAACATCACTACTTATTATCAACTATTGACTTTAAACTTTAGCCTTTCACATAAAAAATAATACCTTGTAGTAATATCCATATACCTTTGCTTAAAAGCTAAAGCCTCCTTACTTTTTTCTTTCACAATTTTATGTAAATTTCATCCACCATCATGAACCAATATGGTACAAGAAGTGTAAAAGCTAGGCATAATTACATTCATTGTCCTCTACTTGAATTTATGTTTGTATACACACATGTACTTATCTATATATACTTATTACAAATTAGATATAACGATAAGAGTTAATAGTTTCTCACTTTAACTATTAATTGTTCTTTTTTCCTTCATGAACCATCATCATCTATATATGTATTAAAACACACCTTAAGCTGACTAGGTCAATTATCAATCGTTGTTCCATCTTTCTACTTGAAATCATCATCTATTCAACTAGTTGTGTTTTGTAATACATAAATGATGCTCTAGCTCAGTTATGACAAGAAAACAATTGATAATTTAGGTGTAAAACTTGCAAAATGTGATTATTCAGATATGTTTTTAATCATTAACTCTAATAATAATTTATACGATCACAACAAAAAATCATGAATCGCTTTTTGTTCTTCTTCATCATCACCAACTATATATATACACAACCAAAAAAAAATGTGTCTAGTGATGTGTCATTTTCTAGAGCTTTATATCTAAGTGAGATATCTCAAAAAGAATAAAAATGGTATAGGTAATATGATAGGAAATTGTATGATTGAAGAAGGGAGTGCTTTTGTCTCCACTCTTTAGAAAATTGTGGGAGGTCCAACCAAAGCATTATCTCTATGACCAAAGTGCAACACAATATGCGCAAGACGCTCCCTTGAGACAGCTACTTATTGTGTATATATATATATATATATAAATCTTCACTTTCACCAAGTCTTCTTTATTCATGCATATGAGACATTTTGGTATCCAAAGATCAAATTTCTTAGTTGGAAAGCCTACTTTTGAGGGTCCATCATATGGGCAAAGAAGTAAAGTATATATATCCTTTTTCATGTCATCCTATTGGAACCACATGATCTTATTTTTATTTTTATACTTTTTCCTAAGAAAAACAAAAGAATTTGAAACGGAGTTTTGGAGTAACGATAAAGTTTGTTTTTGTGTTAGCTATAAATCACAGTTCCGAATACGAAATATATCGGTTGTTGATGGATCGGAGTTCTTCATGTCCTTTGTGACTCTTTATTTTGCAATAAACGATGTATGTTAAACGTATATTAAGGGTGTGTTTGGTACGAAGAGAAAGTGTTTTTCAGGAAAATAAGTGAGTTTCTTACTTATTTGTAACTAAGAAAATATTATTCTAAAAGCATTTGTATTAATCTAGACAAATACTATGTGAAGCGAGCTAGGGTGAGGCCTACGAAGGTAGGAATGAAGATGAGGCATGTCAGATGGTGAGATCAATGTGTAATGCTACTTGTGAAACTTGTTTACCCTACTTTTATTATTAAAGTCATTTTTCTGAATTTTAAGAAACTTGTTTTCTTAGGAAAAAAATCCATTTTTTTAACTAATCGAACATTAAAAAAAATTAAAAAATATTTTACTAAAAACAATTATCTCCATACCAAAGCACCCATAAACAAGAAATGAAAGGGAAAATGTGTACTTTTGATCTCACATATCAACATTTGTTTTTGGTTCTAAAAGATTAAAATCACTTAGCTAACAAATCACATATCACTGTTTGCTTTATTTTGATCCTTAATGTATCACATATTATAATTGAAATGATCCTTGATGTATTAC